CAGTTTTCGAGCATGCTGGTTAATTAAGCTTTGTCTGTATAAAGGATGACTAAATGAGGCAATTTCAGAAATATTCCTTTTATTTATTTTTTTTTTTACTTAAATTACTTTCCAATATCTGTTAAGAGAAAACTATCCTATAATGAAAATTTAGAAAATGTTCAGAATTTTTATTTAAGTTAAATTATTTAAATATTAATATGAGTGAAAAAATAAATAAATGTACAATAAATTCTATTTATTTCTAGGTGCCAAGCATAAAAAATTTATGAAAAGGAAAAATACAGCTACTGGTGGAATAGCAAGCTTTTTTCCCAAATCAAATCCTGCTAGTGTTGCACCGTCCAGTTCCCCAAATGCTTCACAAAATTCAAATACTTTGTAGATGATGCTGTAGGAGCTTCAAAAAATGTTTTGGATGCTGTAATTTTGTGGTGTTTGAACGTGGTGACAACTCATTACTCTTACAGATCTAGTAGTGACATGGGCAGACTTTTTTTCAATTATGTTCCCTGACAGTCTTATAGCAAGACGCTTTTCTTGTAGTGAGAGAAAGCTTGCTTATCTCTGCCATTTTGGATTAACACCTTATTTTCAGAGGCTCATGTATAACGAATCTAAGAAGCTATCTCACTTCACATTGTTATTTGACGAGACTTTGAATACGACAAATCAAAAAAAGCAATTAGATTTGCATGTTAGATATTGGCATCCTGACCAAAATAAAGTTGTAACTCGATTTTTGACCTCTGATTTCATGGAACATACAACAGCTGCTAATATTTTTATATATCTAGTTATCTTATTATATGTAGTTAAAAAACTAGATATAAAGAAGCTGTTACAAATAAGTATGGAGGGGCCAGTCGTAAATTGGAAGTTTTATGAAACCCTCCAATATGAATTGAAAAAGGAATATGGCATTGAATGTATATCTATTGGTAGTTGTGGTTTGCATATTTTGAACAATGCTTTCCGTAAAGGAGCATCCACTACAAGCTGGGATGTACCTTCTATTTTAGGAGCACTGTACCATCTATTCAAAGATTCTTCAGCATGTCGAGAAAATTTTTTAACAGTGAGTGTGCATAAGACTTTGCCATTGAAATTTTGTAACCAGCGGTGGTTAGAGAATGTACTAGTATGTTTGTGTGCTTTTGAAATTTGGGAAGATATAAAAGGTTATGCCAAACTAATTGAGAATGGAAAATATGCAAAAATAATTTGCAAATCATATGAAATAATAAGAGATGCAATTAAAGACAAATTAATGCCTGTAAAATTCCTTTTTTTCATTTGTGGGTGAATTGGTCAAACCCTTTTTGGAACATTACCAAAGAGATGAACCACTTGTTCCTTTTTTTTTTTTTTTTTTTTTTTTTTTTTTTTTTTTTTTTTTTGCTTTAGATTTGCACAAATTAGTAAAGCAACTTTTGCAGCATTTCAAAGTTATAAAAGAAGAGTACATGTTAAAAATCAGTTTATTACTAAAATATTTGTGTAACTTTGATTTTTCAGAGAAAGATATTGTTAATGAAATAAGCAAAATTAGTTTAGGATTTAGGGCTGATAAGCTCTTGCAAGAACTATACGCTAAAAAAGAAATCATGGATAAATATTACCTTTCTCTTAAACGTGACTCACAAACTTTTATTTTACAACTACTTGAAAAGCTGATGGAGAAATGTCCAGTTAATTATTCATTGATTCGAAATGCTGTTTCTATGAATCCAACGTATATGGCGCAATGCAGAACAAAAGCATACGAGAAAATGAAAAGTATATTGATGCATTTTCCCCAAAAATGACATATTGCAGAAGAAGAATGCAATAACATTCTTTTGGAATATTCCAATTTCATCGAAAATGTTGTCCAGCCAGACCTTACAGAATTTTAGAACCTATGATGTGAAAGAAAAATGAGATTACATTACTTTTTTTGCACACATTCATTAATGCAAAATGCCTTCAAAGTTGTGGAGAAATATTTAAAATAATCTTTATTCTTTCCCATGGGCAAAGCCTCTGTTGAATGAGGGATTTAGTATCAGTAAAAATATAGAAACTAGAAAACTCTGGGGGAAAACTTCGTACATTGCAAACCAGCGCATAGTTTTGTGATTATGCGAAACATACTGGTGGGATACACAATATATCAATTAACTGTAAGAGATAACGGCGGCAGCTTCATTAGATCATTTGCAGTATACAGTCAAAAGTCTTTAATCCGGACTCGTCAGGACTTCGGCGATTCTGGATTATAGATCATCAATTTAAATCTGGTAAAATGGCATGCAGAAATTCTAAAATTAAAAATATGAAACCGTAATTTATGAAATAAAGAGCAGTTATGATCTAAAGCAGTGTTTCTTAACATTTTTGGCACAATGAACCACTTTAAAAATTTTAAATATGTCACGGACCCCTCTGTGAAAAAAAAAAATTGCTTAAACATCATTTATTACAAAATATATTCTGTTTTATTATTTAATTATTTTAATATTTTTATTTCAATAGTATAAAAAATTTGAAGAAATTAAAATTTTTAATGTGAAGGCTGTTGCTGCTGCTTTTCCTTGATTAACAGATTGAATTGAGGGATGGTTTTCGACAAAGCAACGCGCATATCATGTTCGACATTCAGTCTATTTCGATGTTTTATTTTTATTGTGACAAGTGTGGAAAATCCCGCTTCGCAAAGATATACTGTAGCAAACGGAATAATGGCTGCCATAGCTCGTTTTACAAGCAATGGGTAGGCTTCTTTTAAAGAAGACCAAAACTCTCCAAGAGGTTTTGAATCAAAATCCATTTTTTAACAAGGACTTTATTTTCAAATCAAATAGCTCATCTTTCGCAAGGTTCATGTCATCGATACAGTCAATATCACAAAGAAAAGGATTACGAATCCACAGCTCATCTTTTGTATTTATTCCATCCGAATTGAAATATTTTTCAAATGAAACTTGAAGTACTTCCAGGTGTTCACAGATTTCATTTTTCAAGTTATTCAATAACAAACTATCTTTCCGAGATCCATTTTCAAAAAGCACTTCGTCCAACATTTGAAAGTTTGCATATATCCCATTTTGAATTCTAATTTTCCAAAGTGACATTTTCAATAAAAATGCCTGTAGTTTCTTCTCAGTGGTATCCATAATTGTTGTATCAGGCCCTTGAAATGAAAGACATATATCGTTCATGTGGTTAAAAATGTCTGCCAGGTAAGCCAATTTACATATAAAATCTTTTTTTCTTGAAATATTCGAAGAGTGAGTTATCGTTTTCTTCTAAAAAAAGTGATACTTCTGTCTTCAACATGAAAATTCGTTTCAAAACCTGCCCTCGTGACAGCCAGCGCACTTCCGTGTGGTACAGAAGTACCTCATGTTCTGCGTTCATTTCTTGACACAGTGTTTTAAAAAGACGATGATTAAGAGCTCTACTTCTAATAAAATTCACAGTTTTAATAACTATTGACAATACTTCTTTTAAGCTGGTTGGAAGAGTTTTTGTAGCCAGTGCATGTCTATGTAAAAAACAATGTGTAACAATAACATTAGGAGCCTCTTTTTTTTACCAAATGGGCAAAACCAGATTTATTGCCAAGCATCGCAGGTGCTCCATCCGTACAAAGTGAATGAAGTTTTTTGTTTCCAGTCGAAGTCGTGTTTGGAAAAGAAACATTTAAAATCGCTAAAACATCAACTGCCTTTGTAGTTTTGCAAAAGAGGCTCACAAAATAAGAATTCTTTGATAGTATCAGCAGACACGTAACGAACAAAAACAAGAAGTTGACTACAATTCGAGATGTCTGTAGTTTCATCCAGTTGCATACTAAAGGGAAATGGCGATGCTTTCAATTCATCGATGATCTGTTTCAAGATATTGCAAGAAATTTCAACTATTCTTGAATGTATCACATCCTTGGACAATGGAATAGCCTCAAGTCAAGTTTTTTTCTCTGTTCCAGTCCACAAACTAATTCAACCATTTCCAGCGCACATGGCTTAATTAATGTCTCTCCAATAGTATGCGGTTTCTTACTTTTGGCAATACGATATGCAACTCTGAAAGATGCCTCAACCAAAGGTTTTTGTGAAATACCAAATCCAAGTTTGGTTAATGTTCCAGATTTCGAAAACTGGGCTTTCTTCTTTGTAAAAAATTCTAGATCTTTAGATGCATTTTCAGGATGAAGAGATTTGAGATGCTCTATCAATTTTGCCGGTTTCATACTGGCGTTTGCCAAAACTTTTCCACACAGAAAGCATTGTGGCTTTTCAATCAACACCGTCCGATTCCTTCATGCAGCAGAATCCATATTTTACATAATTTTCATCATACTTCCTTTTTTTTGGACATTTTGGGCTACAAAAAAAAAAAAAAAAAAAATCAAATAATCAAATGAAACATGAAGAACAAACATTAAGACACACACACACACACACACACACAAAAAAAAAAAAAAAAAAAAAAAAAAAACACTTGAAAAAATACTTTAATTACAACTTATGAAAAAAGTAAAACAAATATTTTGTTTTAAAAATTTGCAAGAACTTTGCGGAGCTGATTTTAACGTCACTTTATTTCCAAGTGAAGTAAAATTCAAAGGCTACTTTGCGTTTCTAACAATTTAAAATTTTATATGGTTTGCAAATGTTCTTTTCCTCGTATTGTGGAGGTCTCTATTATTGGGAAATGGCAGACAGACGGCTTACAGAGGTTGCCCATGACAAAAAAAGTTTTTTTTTGAATATTGATTCAAACATTTAAAAAATTAGGAGCAGTCGGCGGACGCCCGAAATATGACCCATGGACCCCCAAGGGGTCCATGAACTACAAGTTAAGAAACACTGATCTAAAGGGTATCAAAATTTACAAAAAGAAAAAGGCTTAATATTTATTTGTTTACTTTATTAAACATTTCTTTCAACGCGTGCATGCGCAAAGCATATGTTATGCATAGTCAAAATTAGAAAATTATAACCAGAAAACTATTTGATGTGTAGTGATATTTATAATGATGAGGAATTTGATTTAAATCCTATCAAAGATGCATTACATTGAGATGAAATACTACATTTAGTAAGGAATTATAAGCCGAATAAAATAAAAACATCTGCCCTGAAGATAAGGAGAGTGCTGATAGATCAACTTCCAGTTCATTGTGCGCTGCGACACGCCCAACCCCCCCCCCCCCCGCAGAGCAGCATGAAATTCATAAACAGATTTTGGAATGGTTAGAGAAACAAAGGATTTGCTTTTATCCATTTTTTGAAGCAATTCCACTTTTTGTTTGATGGACATCGAAACATGCTTTCGCTTTGTAGATCCTTTGGCAGCTTCAGAATCGGAAATTCTTTTTGACATAATCGAAAGTTCAAGCTTACTTTTATAAAATTGCTCTAACAATCTGCAAAAAATAATAAGCCGGATCCAATTAGAAGATTAAGGAATAATGCAATCTGCAACATTAATTGAAATAGATAATTAGATAATTTTAGCTTAGCTTGTACCGTCCATTATACATTAAACGCGCATGTGTAAACGCATATACGCATGCGCAGAAAGTTTGTAGTTTTGAGGTCCGGATTATGGACGTCCGGATGAAAGACTTTTGACTGTACTATTTGGAAGAGCAGAAGAAAAAAAAAAATATATTGAAAATAAAGAAAGAAAAGCAGCAGAATCAACAGATGAATTGATTTCTCTTAAAAGAAAGAAAACTCTCTTACAAAAGGAAGTTAAAGTGCTTGAAAATAAAGCAAATGAACTTGCTGAAAAGGCTGAAGTTACAAAAGATTTTAATCTTTTAAATAAATCTAATGAAATGTTAAAAACTATTTGTGAAAACAAACTCTCTTTAGAGATTTGGATTAAGATATGAAAGAAAAGAAAAATCAAAAATAAAAGTAATATTACTAATTATAAGCATAAATCATTAAATTAAAATTTAATTAATAAGCATAAATCTTTTTTCTTGTTTCTTTTTTTATGTTGTAAAGTACTTCGTATGAATATAATAAATACAGTTTATTATTATTAATTTTCCTTAAACTGATATTTCATCTTTAAATCTTGTAATATAGTTTAGTTTTGCATAGGATCTTCTCCCTCTCATTGTAAACTAGTTCGATAAATTGAACTGTTATTTGCAATTGAAAAGTAATTGTAATTGTTTCTCATGGTTGAGTAATGCTGATTCTCTCTTTAAATACTGAATTCCTCGGATTTTGAATTACAGTTAAATCTCATTTTTATTTTAAAGTTATGCAGTTGTGTATGTATGAAATTAAACAGGTGCTTATTTTTTTTTCTTGAAAAGTGCTGATAGGTGCTTATTTTTTAACTAAAATGTGACTATGAACCCTGTATGCATCTATGCGCTACACAAAGCAAATATCCGCTTGCCTTATTTAAAAATTTTTGAGTCTGTGGCACACAAAATGCCTTAACAGCATCCGAAAACTTTCTAAAATTATCTGAACTAGAATCTGTATATCAGCATTGCTACATAAATTCACAAAAATAAGAGTAAAAATTATTCTCCGTAGTGCCAGTATCTTCCAACGTTCAACCATATGCATTTCCTTCCTACAAGCAGGACACTTATAATGGCTACTAAATAAACCTTTATTTACATACCAGTCAATTAATGCGCTTTTCCACTTTAGTTACAAATCATACAGAAACTTCAAATTAGGGCCATTCTACCATCTAAGTCACAAAACAAGCAATGTAATTCCTAACCAACGCTCACCACAAGCCCTTACAAATCTTTTCCCCGTCATTCAAAATTTATGGCAGTCGCACGGTCTATTACATCATAATAGGGTTTCCATAGCATTCAACTACTCAGATTACCATAAATGAAACAACAACTTCGCGGTAATACAAGGGGCACCCTTCAGTCTACTCTAACCAGAATTTGATTTTTCTAGCCGTTTTCTCTATGAAGGAGAAAAGTAAAATTCTGCTGTACAGTTTATTTTTTACCCAATGATTATCTCTTGAATTGGGGATATAGACTTTCTAAGAAGTTGCAGTTCTGCTTAAAATAAAGCACAATTTAAAAAAAATGCTTTAAAAATATTTTTCAGCTAAAATTGAGAGCTGTTAGCATGAATTAATTTTCTGTGACCCTCTTTAATTATTATTATTTTTATTTTGAACTGAACTTTTTATTTTGTTTTGTCTTCCAGGATAGTTATAAACGACTGAAAGAAATATCCGTAGCGCAATTTTGTGATCCATTAACTGATGAGGATGAACTGAAAGAGAAGAAACAAATGAAAACTACTGAGTGAGTTATTATTTTAATAGTACACTAATTTTTTAAGGTGTATGAATGTGTGTTTCTATATTGACGAACCAAAACATTATGACCATCTCCACATTTTTCAGTAAACTCACCTGGATGATGTGGAGGGCACATGGTTAAGTGGAAATGGTATTTAACTGCTGCTTGGAGAAGATAAAGAATCATTCTTGCACTTTTGGCCCAAGGCCCAAGGCGATATTTTCCGGAGTACCTTTGCAACTTAATGCAATTACCTCCACAACTTCGTTAAGAAAACTGAAGTGATTAAGAAAAAGCACTGGCTAAAGGGTAATGAAGGAGACCATTAAGGGTTTACGGGGAAAGAAGTGAATAAGGAGTCCACACTATGGACGAAAAATTCTTTCTGCTTTCAACCTGTTTTACTAGATTGAAAGAGAGAGAGGTGATGATTAAAGGCGAATTCCTGAATGCATTGCATTAATGGAATCGGAAAGATTGGAAGACAATCAGCCGGGAAACATAATTTTCCAGGGCTTGGGAAAGGTATATTAGGTAATACGGAAAACCGCAGTAGTTGCTAATGCCTTGGGGATGGGCTGGGGGGGGGGAGAGAGTCTTGCGACTAAAGCTCGGAGCAAGGGATGGTGGAACGAAAAGAGGGGGGGGAAAGGATTCAAGAGGCGAAAAAGTTCTCCTACCGCCCGTGGCGAGAGAAGAATAGGAGCAACTTTTGAAGCGGAAAGAACCGTGAAGAAAGTTAACTGTAAAAAAGACGGAGAAGTTTTAAGATAGTTAAAGGGAAGGCAGGCGAGGAAAAGTGGTTTAAGTTGGAGAGGAGAGGTGGATTAAAAAGGGGGAAGAAATAAAAATAGGGACAGGATTAAACTGAATTACCTGATTGCAGATGATGACTGAAGATATGCAAGCTTGTATATTTATATGCAGATTGCTGGAAACAAAAATTCATATAATAAAAGTGTTTTGAGTAGCATATGAAAGAGGTAAATTTTAATGATTAGAATAATTAATTTAAATTTTAATAGTTAAATAGTTTAAGTTAGATTTAATAAAATAATTAAAGAACTTTAAAGCTATTGCAAGTTTTGAATTTTAATTGTCTGGACCGTGTTTTATGAAAAGATGAGGTCTTGGCAAGTGGAGGAGCATGTTACCTATAGCAGCACGGATATAAAACCGAGAAACGAGGCCGAATTAGGTCCGGCGGGCATGTGGAAATATAGAAATAGTTAAGGGTCGCCGGGTTAGGCCCGTGAAGTGCTTGTTAATTTAAAAAATTTTTAGAAAGAATTCCTAGTCAAGCAGACACCTCCGCTTTGGCTTCCTAGGAAAGATGTTAAAAGTTCTATCAAGAACGCTCCTAGGTCGCTTAGCTGAGCTGGGCTCAGCTGGATCATAAGCAGGAAGTGAATGCAAGACTGGGTTTTCGATCTGTGTTAATCTATTAAAGAATTTGGCCGAATTTTGCCGGAAAAAGGCATCAAGGGGTAGAATTTTGAGATCGTTATGAAGCACTTCATTACGGACGAAATAATGATGCTTTTGGGAAATGTGAAGGTTTATTTAGCAATTGCTAGAGGAGATGTATGGCTCGCTCGAAAGAATTCGAACTGCGGATGTATTGTCGTCTCCATTTTATTATGCAAGTGAATAAATGATGGTAAAACCAATAGTAAACTCCAAGGTGTTGGATGTACATGTGTCATCGAAGAAAAAGGACGTCTGTGAATGTCCCACTTGATGCAGCAAAACTGGTGCCAGACAGTGGCTCAGTAGACAGTGCAATACAATGCAGGTCCAACTGCAAGTGTTTTGAAACACACAGTTCAGTGTTGGATATGGGACTGTGCAGCAGACATCCCACTCGTATGTTTACATTGGGCCTGGGAACATCGAGACTGGACCATCGCTAAATAAAGACAGTTACCTGATCGGATGAATCACGATTTCTCATTCATCATGTCGATGGCATGTCAGGGTATGCCATCTTCCAGGTGAACAGTTGCTCCCCTGTACAGCAGGTCATTAATAGGCTGGTGGTTGTGGTATTATGCTTTGATGATCATTAGTTGTGGTAGAACACATCATGAAAGCTGCGAACTATCTGACCATAATTGCAAATCAGTTGCACCCTTACAGGGCTTCTGTCTTCCCAACTGGAAATAGAATCTTCCAGCAGGACAATGCCCCATGTCACCAGGCTCGGATCGGAGTGTTTCAAGGAGCATAAAATCGCTTTCGCATCTATTCTTTCCCGGGGCAGTGCTTCTAAAGCAGTGTTTCTTAACATTTTTGGCACAATGAACCACTTTAAAAATTTTAAATATGTCATGGACCCCTCTGTGGAAAAAAAAATTGCTTAAACGTCATTTATTACAAAATATATTCTGTTTCATTATTTAACTATTTTAATATTTTTATTTCAATAGTATAAAAAATTTGAAGAAATTAAAATGTTTAATGTGAAGGCTGTTGCTGCTTTTCCTTGATTAACAGATTGAATTGAGGGATGGTTTTCGACAAAGCAACATGCATATCATGTTCGACATTCAGTCTATTTCGATGTTTTGTTTTTATTGTGACAAGTGTGGAAAATCCCGCTTCGCAAAGATATACTGTAGCAAACAGAATAATGGCTGCCATAGCTCGTTTTACAAGCAATGGGTAGGCTTCTCTTAAAGAAGACCAAAACTCTCCAAGAGTTTTTGAATCAAAATCCATTTTTAACAAGAACTTTGTTTTCAAATCAATTAGCTCATCTTTGGCAAGGTTCATGTTATCAATACAGTCAATATCACAAAGAAAAGGATTACGAATCCACAACTCATCTTTTGTATTTATTCCATCCGAATTGAAATATTTTTCAAATGAAACTTGAAGTACTTCCAGGTGTTCACAGATTTCATTTTTCAAGTTATTCAATAACAAACTATCTTTCCAAGATCCATTTTCAAAAAGCACTTTGTCCAACATTTGAAAGTTTGCATATATCCCATTTTGAATTCTAATTTTCCAAAGGGATATTTTCAATAAAATAGCCTGTAGTTTCTCAGGCCATCCATAATTGTTGTATCAGGCCCTTGAATTGAAAGACATATATCGTTCGTGTGGTTAAACATGTGTGCCAAGTGAGCCAATTTACATATAAAATCTTTTTTCTTGAAATATTCGAAGAGTGAGTTATCGTTTTTTTCTAAAAAAAAGTGATACTTCTGTCTTCAACATGAAAATTCGTTTCAAAACATGCCCTCGTGACAGCCAGCGCACTTCCGTGTGGTACAGAAGTACCTCATGTTCTGCATTCATTTCTTGACACAGTGTTTTAAAAAGACGATGATTAAGAGCTCTGCATCTAATAAAATTCACTGTTTTAATAACCATTGACAATATTTCTTCTAGGCTGGTTGGAAGAGTTTTTCTAGCCAGTGCATGTCTATGTAAAAAACAATGTGTAACAATAACATTAGGAGCCTCCTTTTTTTTACCGAACGGACAAAACCAGATTTATTGCCAAGCATCGCAGGTGCTCCATCCGTACAAAGTGAATGAAGTTTTTTTTCCAGTCGAAGTCGTGTTTGAAAAAGAAAACATTTAAAATCGCTAAAACATCAACTGCCTTTGTAGTTTTCAAAAGAGGCTGACAAAATAAGAATTCTTTAATAGTATCAGCAGAAACGTAAAGAACAAAAACAAGAAGTTGACTACAATTCGAGATGTCTGTAGTTTCATAAAGTTGCATACTAAAGGGAAATGGCGATGCTTTCAATTCATCAATGATCTGTTTCAAGATATTGCAAGGAATTTCAACTATTCTTGAATGTATCACATCCTTGGAGAATGGAATAGCCTTTTTCTCTGTTCCAGTCCACAAACTAATTCAACCATTTCCAGCGCACATGGCTTAATTAATGTCTCTCCAATAGTATGCGGTTTCTTACTTTTGGCAATACGATATGCAACTCTGAAAGATGTCTCAACCAAAGGTTTTTGTGAAATACCAAATCCAAGTTTGGTTAATGTTCCAGATTTCGAAAACTGGGCTTTCTTCTTTGTAAAAAATTCTAGATCTTTAGAGGCATTTTTAGGATGAAGAGATTTGAGATGCTCTATCAATTTTGCCGGTTTCATACTGGCATTTGCCAAAACTTTTCCACACAGAAAGCATTGTGGCTTTTCAACACCGTCCGATTCCTTCATGCAGCAGAAGCCATATTTTACATAATTTTCATCATACTTCCTTTTTTTTTTTTTGGACATTTTGGGCTACAAAAAACATCAAATAATCAAACATTAAAAAAAAAACACTTGAAAAAATACTTTAATTACAACTTATGAAAAAGTAAAACAAATATTTTGTTTTAAAACTTTGCAGAGCTGATTTTAACGTCACTTTATTTCCAAGTGAAGTAAAATTCAAAGGCTACTTTGCGTTTCTAACAATTTCAAATTTTATATGGTTTGCGAATGTTTTTTTCTTTGTATTGTGGAGGTCTCTATTATTGGGAAATGGCAGACAACGGCTTACAGAGGTTGCCCGTGACAAAAAAAGTTTTTTTTTGAATATTGATGCAAACATTTTAAAAATTAGGAGCAGTCGTCGGACCCTCAAAATATGACCCATGGACCCCCAAGGGGTCCATTGAACCACAGGTTAAGAAACACTGTTCTAAAGAAACATTTCTTGGAACCCCCATTTCCATGAAACCTACGTAACTGGGTTACCATCTTCACTTAGTAAACAGACCTGAAAGCTAAACAAGAATAAATTATCCCTCAGATTAACAAAAAAAGATACAGTACAAAGTCCGAGATCTGGAAGTCCAATATCTGGAATGATCTGAAGTCCGGACCTGAAAGCCACCACCAAAAATTTTTTTGTATGCTTTACACATTTGATTTCCAACACCCCCATAATAAAACATGCAGTGAGTACTGATTATTAATCTCACTTGGGCACTAAATAAAATACATCATTATTAAAAAAATAATCATTTTAGCATAAA